ACATGATTTAAAACAATTCAAAATTCATTAAAAATCATTAAAAAACGTTTTTTTGCCATCCCTAGGGCAAACTGATTTGACAGATTCGGTAAGTTTACTGATGCCGACATCGGTAACTTATCGATTCGGTCAATCGTTACAGTTTGTCTGGGGAAGTAAATTAAATTAAATTCATTTTTGTATTTTACCTGAGAAATAGTTAAATAATTCAATGAAAAATAGGATGCCATTCTCGACGTGCAAGGTAACATCATCCAAGACCAAAATTGTGTTCAGCGGATTCTAGATTTTAGTGATAGCTCTAATCTTTTTTGCTTTATTAAAATTCTTTAAGTTTGATAAATTACTAACCGCCAAGATTTTCTCAATCCTCACGCAAGATATGAGATCATATGATGCAATTTGCGCATGATGATAATGTATACAAGATTGGGAATGCAACAAAAAAATAACAAAGTTTCTCATCGAGTTAATCCATTCCGATGTGCTGCACATGAATAATATTAACTTCAATTGAAAGAAATTTTTTGTTATGTATAACTTATACTAAAAATTTCAGAATTGTGGTTTGCTCGGTTAGAAGTAAAAAATTTTATCCAAGATATGGTTAATTAATATTGCCTAATGCCAGTTTAATGTCGATAATTTTGATTCAGAATTTTATTGTAAATTTATTTCGGGAAATCACGTAACGAGAGACATCTATATTGTTATCTCATTTAGTCACAATATAATTTTATACGCAAAAATTTATAATACAAATAGACCTGAAATCATATGATTCAGCACTTTTAAGACCTGGCGGATTGACGAGGTTTATATTTCTTGTTTACCTATACGATATTGATCATTGAATTCACATAGTCACACTTAGCAAGTTACGAAACTATATAACGAATGATCAAATATCGTCTTTAATTCAGGATACTGATGGATTTTCAGGTATTAAATTAATTTTGTATCTTTTGTACTAAGCTTTGTCTAATCATTTATCTTTGTTTAAATTAAGGTACCCGATTTAGATAATTTGTTTAGAGTAGTATTAATTAGTATCAGAGAAAATGGTTATAATGAAAGAATAAGTTCGTTCGTTTTTATAGAAAAAACCATAATTTCAAGTCTTTATTATTTACATTATATATTTTATAATAGGTTACTTATGATCATTTTATTCAAGCAAAATGTGTAGGGTTGTTAGTGGAGTATTCCAAACCAGTGTTGGCACGGGACAGCTTTGGGCAAATTGTGGACAATTGTGGACAATTTTGAATTAAAAAAACATATCTAAATTACTCAAAATTTTATTAAGATAATCTATTTGAATCTTTTAAGCAAAAATATCCAGAACTATAAAAAATATATAATCATATCTTTTTAAACTAATTTATTCAATTTTAAAGCCTAAATATTCTTTGGATAATTGTGAACACTGGACGTTTGGACGTGGACATGAGCAAAAAAAGTTTTGGACATAGTAGACATGACAACACTGCTCCAAACTATAATAAAGCATATTAAACCACTCCAGTTTAAAACTGGAGTGGTTTATATGTTTTATTATAGTTTGGAGTACTCCATTAACAACCCTAAAATGTGTATGCAAAACTTCGTTATGTTTATTACTACCAAAGTTTTAATTAATGAATAGTAATTTATCTTTTTAAAAATTAATTTAGTTTGGATAATTACTACGCCACTAACCTTGTACGCATTTTAATAGACTAGTCATGAAATAAATCTCCCCCAAGTATCGCCACCAAAAAAAGCTACTTTCACGTGATAGTGATGTGACGCACCACACCAATGAAATTGTAGATCAGACGTACAGATCAACGAAATTATTTTAATGTTTTCTAGATGTCAAGCTTTTGGTTTCTTCCTCGTCGCTTTCAGCGTTTACGAAGTAGTTCATTGGAGTATGTCTTTGCTTTCTGAAGTTTTTTGGCATTCTTTTAGCATTCTTGGCATTTTATTTATTTATTTATTTAGGGTGCTGATAATTTCCTCACCCTTTTTTTGATATTTCCACAGTTAAACCCAAAACTTATCAATCACGACCGTCTGTAATATCACGTGATAAATGATATATGAAATTCGTAATGTATTACAAGCACCAAGAAATCTACCATTTCTACCCATTCTACTATTTCTACAATTCCTATAATTTCTACTATTTCTACTAGTTCCAACCTTTCTATTATTTACCTCACTGTTATTAGTTCTATTATATGTATTAGTTATATTCGCTTGCATATCAATTATTCCATAGAATAGGTCTAGTATAATCGATAGATAGAAATATTTTCCAGTCCAAGAACATGTATAAATAGTCCTGTTATCCCCCCCGAATCATTAGTTTCTCGCATAACAAAGTAATAAAGAGTAAACTCATATAATTACAACTACTTATATATATCTTCATATATATTTAACCGTTTGCCTCTTTCATAACTGCAAATCACATAATCCTCTTAAAGCGTAACTGCAATAAACCATATATTTTACTTAAGCATAAACACGGCATTGTTATCACTCGTCTAACATATCCGTCGCTAAAGTAGAATCGTTATATCAAACTTATAAGAGATAGTTTTTAGGTATAACAACACCTTTGTAGATCACTCATTTTTAAAACTTTGATCAAAGATATCTCGGCAACCACCTGATAAAATTCGATAAACTTTTTTTTATTTGAATTCTATGGATATATAGAATTTGAATAAAAAAAAAGGTTTATCGAGTTTCATTAGGTGGTTGTCTGAGAAGATACCTTCGATCAAAGTCATACACAAATAAGTCTTATTATAGTTAAAAATATTTTCAAATCTATAGATAATTTATTTAAGGATAGGACTAATCAGTGCCCCGTGCACTCAGTGTCCTCTATTATAAAAAATTATAAAATTACTAATATCTCAAAATTTTGACTAGATAACCCTGTCACATAATATAAACAAATATTTCTTTTGCAATTTTACTTTATCTTAACCCTAAACCTAACTCTAATTCTAACTTTAACCTAACCTAATTTATATTGCAGACTCAATTTTGCTATGGAGATACTGAGTGCATAGGGTATTGTTTAGATTTTTTCCTTTATTTAAAAAAACATTATTTGTTTTACTTTGCTACTTATATTTATAAATATTGTAATATAACTTAAAATTTATTAGATTATATAGTATAAACTTAATAGATCAGTTTTTAAAAAATTTTTTATTTATATTTACTATATAAGTAAAGTTTTTAGTTTATAAAAATTTTTAGATAATTTTTTCTATTTGTATACAAGGTGTATGTATATATATGAGTAATATAGATATCTCAAAATTTTAATTATGAAAACACTTTTCTGCTTCTAATAAAAAAATTTTTTATAAAATTTTGGTATATATTATATTCTGCCTAATTTTAAATCTAATTATAAACAAAAGTTTAATTTTTTATTTGTAAAAATTATTTTAATTTAAATGTTATATAAATTTATAATTCAATAAATTATACTTGTGCATAAATACTATATATAAACTAATAAATTTTTAAATTTTTAAATATTTTTTAGAGATTTACTAATGACTAGCCTGGCTGATTTATTTAAAAATCAACTATTATATAAATTACAAATTTAATAACTTTATGCTATATTATAGCTTGATCTTATATTATAGACTAATTGTAGCAATTTTATTATATAATACTATTATTAAATCATTATTATGTATTGATTTTCAAATTATTATGTTACAAATATTTTTAAAATACACTACAGTCAGGGGATATACCAAATTAGGAAACCAGATTCTAGAATGATCCATGTGTTGGATTACAGATTTGATTGGTTCTTATATACTATTTGGTCAGTATTCTTCAGAAATTTTTTTATGCTCCAAATTTATTATAAATCTCATGAATAAGCACATAAACAGACAGTAAAGAATATGTAGTTTAAATAATCCACAATAATTCATATAAGTTAATACTTATTAAAAAAGTAAATATGACGTGAAGACTTGCAAGATTTTATGCTCATTCGGAAGGCTAGTATACGAAAACTCAAGAACTTTGTCACAATCTTTGCTAACTAAATAGAGATTACTGATCAAAAACATTACTATATATATATTACTTAATATTTCTGTACTTGTGCTGCTTTTGTTTATAAACATTATTTATTAACCAGATCTTTATACAATATCTTTTTAATTTTATTTTTTATAGATTTAAAGTCATTAAGAATAAAGATCATTTGAATATAGGCTAGTAGTTTATTTTAATTTTATATTATTAAAATCATTTACTAATTAGTTAAGAGAATTACTACGTTTAACCAGGGGGAATTTCCTAGTAGTACGAAAGCAGGAGCTTGTATAATATTATTAACTCTGATCTTATATTGATATACAAATATAGTAATAAACAATTGTTTACTTTAACAAACTTCTCTGCAAACGATCTGAGGTAAATAAAGGTTCAACTAAAAAAAAACTGATTTCTGATTTCTTTTATTTCACAAAGTATCACGATTTTATTTAACTTTACGGTGCATAATAATTAACATACATCAATACGTTTAAAGTATATATAATTTAACACCCACCATAAAGCCTTCCCATTAAGTACTTTTGGTGTTGCAAGATTCTTTAACTAACCCTATTTAACAACCGACTGATATACTGTATATATTCATTAGTACCTGCTTAAAAAACAAGTTTCACGTGCCTCTAGATTACTGTTTCCTATCATAACAGATTTAAAGGTAGTAAACTAGATAGTGTTAACTTATAGAGATAAGGTAGCTATAAGTATTACAATTGTTTTTTTACCTCACGCTATTCAATAACTGACTAATATGGCTTATAAGGCGTGAAATATATTTAAAATTCAAGTTTTGCCTCCTCTTGAACTACAACTACTAGTATAATTTCACTATCACAAAAATTTGAAAGGTTGAATTTTTATCAAAATTTTCACATATTGAATATATGCTCATTGCTTACATAATGAATCCGTTACAATCCGAGGAAAATGGTGAAGGAAGTAGTGTTAGTTTAAGAGATAATGATCAAACGCAAATTTTTTTTGAAAGTAACTTAACTAGGACAGAACCATCTTTTATAAGCTCACCCTATGAACCTGAAATGAATGAAATATTCGATATGGACTCTTCTGACGAAAAGGATGAAGAACTAGCGTTGAAAATTTATGAAGGCCAGACATTTCAAGTGTGGAATGATGTTGAGATCTTTCTAAAAAAATATGGTTTGGAACAAGGCTTTAGTATTCGAAAAAATGTAATGAGTCATGTCTTGAGAATGGCAAACAAGTTATACGTAAAGTTAGCTGGGATTGTGGTTGTGCTGGTAATTACCAGCCCAAAAAGGTTTTAAATCTGGAAGAGCAATGAAATCGTAAATCAAAATGCACTGGATGTAAATGGCATGTCAATGCAAATATGCCTAAATTATCATCAATAATTACATTTACAACAGTTGTCAATTCACATAACCATCCAATGTCACCCGCACCATCAATCACAATTTCAAATTACCGTAGATTAGGTGAAGATATGCTAGAGTTCATCGATTTTTGCGTAATATATGGCACAACTGGGGCACAAAACATAGAGCAACTTCTAAAGGGTAAATTTCCAGGTCAAAAAATACATAAGAAAAATTTATATAATGCAATTCAGAAGGCAAAAGGAAAACACCTATTAGACAATGAATTGGATGCATCGAATCTTTTGTCACATATGTATAATCACAAAATTAATGATCCTAGGTGGTTCGTAGAAGCTAGATTTGACGGCCCTGAGCGAAGATTGTGTAGTCTTATTATTTTTTCTCCTGAACAGCAATATCTTTGGACAAGGTTTTATAACATCATTTTTTTTGATACCACATCACGTACTAACAAATATAACATGGTTGCGTGCTTCTTCGTAGCTATTGATAATTGTAACTGTACTCATCTGGTTGCTACTGCTTTATTAGAAGATGAGACTGAAGAGAGGTTTATTTAGGCTTTTCACATGATTAGTGAATGTACTGGTAATTTGGCACCACGAGTATTTATACAGATTCTGACCCGACAATGTCAAATGCGATTCTAACTATGTTTCCAAGATCTTTACATTGTTTATGCTTGTTTCATATTAATCTTAATTTAAAGAAAAATCTAAGAAACAAAATGAACACAGCTCAATTTAATGAATTTCTTAAGGACTTTTATATATACTATAATACAATGGTGATTGATATTTTTGAAAGCAGATTTGAGATGCTCAAGTCTAAATATACAGCTGTCACCAATTATATCAAACGTCAACTTGAGCCTTGCAAAATAAAATGAACAGTTTGCTATATTAATAATCAATTTACTGCAAGAGCGAATAGTACGCAACGGGTTGAAAGTTTTAATAAAAAAATCTATGATTGTGTCAAGGCGAATTCTTCTTTAATGACTCTCGTTAAGAAAATTCAAGATCTGCTCGATCAAGAATCTGAATATACAAGCGTTGAAGAGTACAAACGTCAAATACCTATAGTTGGAGTTGTGACTATATCAAAAACTTTTTTTAATTCTTTGAATACTATTGTGGATGAATACTTAACAGAACCAGCATCAATATGTATTCGTAAACAAATGCAGGAATGTTTTTTTATGATGCTTATAAGCTTAATCTTGCCGATTGGAACTTAATTGAAAAAGTATATTTAAATTTTTTTTTTTTCTTTGATAAGGTGCCCTCAGGCACCTATTTTATAGCTTATTTACATTCTGTACATAATTTTATTTTTTTTTACTATGATCAGAATCATAAATAAATTAGTTATTTTATGGTAAATTCTGTATTTTATGATACGTCACAT